ATTCGTTAAGTGGCCTCGCTTGATTAGCGGCACAAATCTATGTGACTTGTGAATAACAATTTTACAATTATTCTCCGTCCTCAAATTCTTCCTTTGCAGCTAGCTTATGTCTTCCTTGTGTGACATAAATCCCGTTATAATTTTATAGCGCGCAATGGAGGGGTCGGTGGCTATACTTGGCTTCGAAAACGTGGGCATAATCATCGGAAAGCTCTTCCATAAGGACGGCCCCTGGGAATCGTTCGACAGCATAAGCCAAACCTTCCCATCAGAGAAAGTACCGAAGGTGAGAGAAAATCCATGTCATCTACTCATGCTAGGTCCACCGCTAAGAAACGTATCTCTCTGTGATCCTTCCTTCCCGCTACGTTAGCCTCTGTTTGGGGAGGGAATGTTACCAGCCATTCACATTGTCATTTGAAAGTAGGCGAAGACGTAACTGGTGAGGGCTGGCAAGCGCTATCTAACAGTAAGACGAAGGTGGTAGGTGTGAGTTCATTTGTTATGGCACACTCTAGCATGCATTCATTTCTTTTTCGTGTTCAACTACAGGGGGTAACTGATTGGAAGACCGACGAGAACTTCGGCCGACAGCGCCTGACGGGAGTCAACCCTACATCCATCCGTCTGTGCACGGAGATTCCAAAGGGGTAAGTTGAACTGAGACGGAAGACAACGGATATGATGGAAAATTAACATTGCTAATATTACAATTAGTCGTCTCACTGTGTGTCACATTGAATCACTTTTAGAAAACACGATTTTTTAAATAATCATTGGTAGGTTAACATAATTGAATTGTTTTATTGCAAATTCATGCTCGAGGGCTAATTGCAGAGTACAGCTGCAACATTTGCTATAAGAACACCAAGACGGTGTCCACGTTTTGTCCACGTTTTGGTAGCCCTTCTTCAATGACTGACTGGTGTTAGTTCCCATTGTTAGCAAGGTGGGGCTGTATTGGGTCCCAAATGAACCTAGCAGTGAAAAGTAGAAGCAGTCATCATTCCCATGAGGAATGTACTCGTACGAAGCAGAAGGTTACCAAAACATCTCACCGATGTGTGTAAAGAAATTTGTTTTGAACCATGAACTTCGTTAATCACAAAACTGATCAAACTATTCACTGATCTTTCTCAGGTTTGGAGTGACGGCTGAAATGGTTGAGCCTTTCCTGCAAGGCCTGAAGCTGGAAGCTGCCATCCAGAAGAAGCGGCTGTACTACATGGATCACACCATCATGGCGATCACTTCCAATGCCAGCACCATGAAGCCCAGGCCGGTGAGTACAAGATTTGTTTGGTTGTTGTTTTGTTTTTTTCGCTCGTTCACACAATATCAGGGAAGCCGACTTATAATTGAGGCGTGGCGCACTAGTTATGTACGGTACGTACAATCTGCGTAACACCAGACTGTAAGGTTTCATTCACTCACACCAGCATGGACTTTATGCATGATGGGTTTTATCGGCGTACTTGATTTGGCTCCTCAGTTAACCAAGTACTAGTGCTTTACATGCCATTCGAGATGGCGTCCCTAACCAAAGCTAAATTCGAATTTTCACCTGAGTCGACTTGGGAAATTTCTATCGTTCTAAAGTGGTTATTGTTTCACCAAGCTTGTAAGTAGTGCTCCAATGTCGCCGACATTTTGCCATACTACCGTTTTAGTTTGCCCAAAGATGCGAGCTTTAAAAAGTGAAGGAAGTTACACCTGAGTTGTTGACTGAATTCTGAAATGTGTCTTGTATAGAATGAATGAACTTTATTGGCTGACAATCGGAAATGTTGAACCCTACAACTATAACTACAAAATATTATCGATAACAATATATAAGTTATTATATAGTCATGTATGGATGAATTGGTTTCGTTTTTGGTATGATGTACAAGAAATTTACCTAATAGTATGTAGGTGCATAAAGGAATTGGATATAACAGCAATACATGTATTAACGTAGTAAGGTAGACTGGTGTGAATTCGAGGGGATTCATTCCTCAGCTAACCGACATCTCGCACACGCAGTCGTCCCTCAGTAAGACATCTGGAGCCGCATAGTTCCCGTTTAGAACTTTTATTCAGCCGGTCACACAACGTAGTAAGGTAGACTGGGTTTATCATTCATGCGTTTCATATGCATGTAAGTCATGGCAGGTTTAAACTTTTTTTTACTATCGTTCTGTGTACCAAATAGGGTGAAGTTTGCCTCAGTAGTAATAGTCTGTAACAGTGCGTCTCTCTCTTTGTAGATGTGCGCTCCATTCGGCCTGTTCTTCGTCAATGACAAGAAGGACCTCGTACCGGTGGCCATCCAACTGTATCCTAACGAAGGGGGAGTACAACACCCGGTGAGTGTCCGTGTTATTTTTCTTAAATAACTGTATTGGTTGGTTGTTGGTTGTTAAGTTGAATTTTTAAGAGCAAATGTCTGTAAGGAGCAAACAATGGTGACGGGGGTAAAAACAATTGACCTGGCTCAAAGTTTGCACAATGATAGTGCTTGGCCAACAGCCCCTCAAAATAGCTGGGTATTATGTGAGTGGATAAAGGTATATGACTGTTGCGGTACACCATTGTCCATTTGCAGGTGTTCCTGCCGAATGACCCGCCCAACACGTGGCTCCTGGCCAAGATGTGGTTCAACTGCGCAGATGCGAACTATCATGAGGCCGTGCCTCACCTTGGTACGTTTTGTTTGTAATGACTTAATTTTATTGTACATTAATTGTACAAATCACAACATGTGGCATATAATGACAAACATACTAGGAGATTACGAACATACTAGGATTCTTTAATTTACCTAACAAAAGACAATGTAGTATTGAACGAGAAGATGCCTTTTACAATTTTAAGGTATTACCGTTTATGTAAAATGCATGGCTTGTGATATGTACTTTAATTTGTTATTCAAATCCGTAACATCAGGTACTAGTAATCTAATCGATATATAGTAATAAATCTACTAGTGAGGATATTGGCTATGAACAAAATGGTTGTGTACATGCTGGGACGAACATTACAAAAGCAGGTGCTTTGGTACTTGTAATTATGACTAACAGCTTCCAGTCTAATTCTGGACTTCCAGTTTAATTCCGGACCGATTCCTATATCTAGATGGGCTAATATCGTAAACTATAGGTACAAATGATGTACGAAATACGTGGCAGCCATCGAGGACCCCTTGAGGATTAATACAATTCTACAATTCATATAATTCTGGCTCCTGGGCAAAGACTGGTAATGGACTGTACCATTCAAATGCACGGAAAACATGTAAGAAAGAATTCGAAGGTGTGAAAAGTCACCTACATGAGTGAAACCGCAACAAAAGCATTAGGGCAACTCGGCCTCTAAACTGTCCATTTTGTTAGTATCAAAAAATCCTATACTGCTAAAGGCATCCAAACGCTAAGCCGAACAAGCACAGTCGCCCCTGGCCTCTCTCACCTGATGAGGATGGCATGCAAACTCATGACTTCTTTTGCGACTCGGACACAGGAAACATGGCCCTAACTCCAAATAATAAAATGCAAATAACCCTTACCTATAACATCCAGCTCCAAAAAAGCAACAGTTCCCAACATTAAGACATTTTACACTATTCTTGTACATGCGGTGCTAATTTGGCACTCATTTGGGGCCCTCTAGACATGCGCGTATTACTGGCATCTGCAGTGTGCAGTGTACATATAATGGTACTGCTATACATTTAATCTACTAGTATTTAATCTGTGGCAGGCGGAACATCAACAGATACCAATTATGCAAATAGTGACCTAATTTGCATAATTAATGTGAACATTTTGTGACTCCTTATTGGTGAATGATGGGAATTTTATACCTCGTGAAATGCATAAGTTACTTAAAGGTTAGCACCACTATGCATATATTATGTTAATGTTGAGTTTATTTGCATAATGAGGACATGTTGAAATGAACTTTGACAATGCAAGCCCATATTTCATGGAGGTATGAGATCTCGGAACTCTTGTTACCTATAGTTTACGATATTAGCCCATCAAGATGTAAGGCTGCTGAGATATGGGATCCGGAATTAAACTTTTCTTTTTCTTTTCTGAACTTATATCAAATATGCGGAATGTAGCGATTGTTTCGATGTTACTCTCGTTACAGGTTTCACGCATCTTCTTGTTGAGGCGTGCAACCTGGCGGCCAAGCAGAACCTGTCCATCTCCCACCCGATGCACCGCGTCTTGGAGCCGCATTTCATTTACATGTTCGCCATCAACGAGTGAGTCCACGATGCGTTATCTTGTCGAATAGTATACATATCAGAATTATTATATACATGTAGAACAATTAACATGTTGAATCTGGTATCTAGTAATGTCGCTAAGGCTTACTGCAAACCTTAAAATATTCGTGTTGGGTTTTTGTTCGTGGTGTTCACGGTCTGTGTGTCTGTGTGTGAACACGATAACTCGAGAAGGCTTAAATGTATTGTCTTCATATTTGGTAGGTCTTGACAAGACCTCGAAATGATTAGATTTTCGGCCCCCTGGCGGCTTGTTATGGTACTGCAGCGGAACTACCGGTTTTTATATATCATGATAGACAGCTAGGGGCACGAAATTTGAGTGGTAGGCAGCTCTTGTGCTTGGGAAGAAGTGACGTAGGTTTGGGCCCCCTAGCGGCTTGCTCAGGAACTGCAGGGGTGTTTCTTTAAAAAAAATATACAAAAGAGGATAACTCAAGAACCGGTTAACGGATCGTCACGATTTTTGGTATGTAGGTAGCTTAAGACATAATTATGCTACAATTATGAAAATTTGGCTGCAATTTATGAGGAAATTCTATGAATCAGCTGCATTTCATTATAGGACTATTCAAGCTTGTGACATATATAATTGAGAACGACAGAAACACAGGCAGATATTGATTATATCATTCAACACTTAATTTGTATATATTTATATGTTTATTGTCTGGAATTTCATACTTGGGGTATTTGAAAGCTAAGTGAAGGTAAACATCATTAAACATAACTTATTAAGATAAGGACTTCATTTGCATAATTTATGAGGAAATGATAGAATATCTTTCTTTGTTGAAATAAGGCTGTCGTTTGGTGGAGAATATGATGAACTAATATAATTCATGCAAATAAGGATCCTATTTGCATAGTCAGGAGGAGTAATCTTTACTTGCATAAAGATTAACATCATGAGGTATGAGATCGCGGAACTCTAGACATTGTATTGCTTTAACCTCAAACCTAAAATATTGAGGTTAAAGCAATACAATGTACAAGAAGACGGCCGCCTCAGCGTCGATGTGTACAGAAAGCCAACCCACACAGACCAGTACCTGGATTTCAACTCCCACCACCCCCTGGAACAGAAACTGGGCGTCATAAGGACCCTCTTCCACAGAGCGGACACTATCATCACTTCAGATGAAGCCAAGTCCAAGGAACACAGCCACCTGAAGAACGCCCTTAACAAGTGTGGGTACCGAACCTGGACCTTCAACAAAGCCCTACAACCTACCGACAAGTCTAAGAAACCAAGAAGCAAACCACTCGACAAGAAGAACACTACCAATATCACCATCCCTTACATCGAAGGAGTATCGGAGAAACTGCGACGCATCCTCCAGGGCTTCAACATCGGCACCAACTTCAAACCCTATTCTACCCTAAGACAGAACCTGGTTCACCCCAAAGACCGCGTACAGAAAGGCATCAAGTCAGAAGTGATCTACAGACTCAAATGCGAGGAACCTAACTGCAATGACACCTACATCGGGGAAACCAGCCAACCTCTGAAGGAGAGATACAAACAGCACTGCAGGGCTACAGCAAGCGGCTACTCTTCTGCCATCTACCATAACACCAAACACAACCAGGGACACTTTTTCAAGCTAGAGGCAACAGACATCCTCGACCGTGAACCACGTTGGTACGAGCGCGGAGTGAAGGAGGCCATCTATGAGCGCATCTACAACCCCACCCTGAACAGGAAGGGGGGACTGCGCATAGAACTCTCAAGCACATGGGATCCCGCCCTGCCACAGCCCAAGGGACAGTAACTTTTCCTATGGTAATTTCTTACCATAGGAACCTTCCTTACATGACAAGACTCTTACGGTTGTTGAACAGGTTTTTCTAGTTCTAATTTCCTGTACATTTAATGAACCGTTTTTTTACATGATAAAGCTTCTTACGGAACTTGTTGTTTAACCGGTTTTTCTAGTTAGGCCATGTTGATTTGATTATATGGATGACATCCGCGCGCGCATGAATTTTCGGCCGTTTCCAAAAAAAAAAAGTTTTCAACCATACTGTAAATCGTACAAAGCAGTTGCAAAATGAGCAAAAATATACCATAAGTTACAAAAAAATTAATAAAAACTATTCCAATGTCGTAGAATGCCAAAATCAAACGAAAAAAGGCGAAATTGTAAAGAAATGAACTTGAAGACTAGATTATTCGCCAAACCATATTCTGTGCCATTTGCTCAACCCTCATGACCACGTAGATTTCATAATGAAAAGAACTTTTTTTTTGCAAAACTTTTTTTTTATTCGCACGCGCGCATCAGTTTTAGGGCTCCCGGAGGATGTCATCCATATAATCAAATCAACATGGCCTTACTTGTATATAAGAGTGAATCGGTTCTCTGTTCATTTGTGACGCTGAAGAAGAGTGATGGATGTCACTCGAAACGTCCGGAAATAAATCCGTTAACTGATCCAGTAGTAGAGTTTGAATTTTCTTACGAGTATCGTTTACCTGGATGTCTAACCTTCATCAACGAACCTAAAATATTTTTCATCACCTACCACGAATATAGGCCCCCGTAGCCTGGATGCCAGACCCAAAGCACGCTGGACACAAAATATCTCAGTGTGCAAGGGTCTGGTAGGGTCTCTTAGGAAAGGCTCTCGAGCAAAGGGAGGAGAAGCTGTGATTGATGACCCCTCACACCACAGGTAGCCTGTTACATGGTATCACCATTAGTCAGCAGGAGACAATCTTGGGCTCAACAGTTAGTTTTGGAGTTTATTTTCCAAAGTAACAGCAGAAGTTAGTCTAATAGTAGAAGTAGTGTACAACCCATGCTTTCCTGTTTGTTTAGGTAACAGTCCCCTGACACACCAGGACAAAATAACCTTATCTGCAATTTAATCTCATCTGCTGGTGGCCATTCAAAGATACATCTGGGAGTTTTAACCAATCATAGCAGAGGTGTAAAATTGCTTCCTGCTGTTCCACCAATGGGGCCTTACGCTCAGATACTGAGCGTTCGAGTGGCAGGTCTATCTGGCCCTACCAGACCCTTGCACACTGAGATATTTTGTGTCCAGGCTAAGGCCCCCGCGAACTCATAATGTTGTTGTCATTTTCTATTTCATTTGGTCATCACGTGATACTACGTGTCCAGTTGCTTCAAGTCGAATAACTGTTTTCATATGCATGTGTATCTCATTACCTGGATGTCCAACCGTCTTCGACTCATTACACATTCTTTTCAATCTAACGTTACTGCAGCTTTGTTCTCTTTTGATAATTTTTGTTTTGGACTTTTTCATCTGTCGCTGTATCTGTGGCACCCAAAGCGATTTAAGGGCAGTAAAACGGGATTTGATCAAAGTCAATTATCTGGTCATGTTTAATGCAGTAAGTAGAATCAACACTTTTCCATAGCGTACTGATATATGTGAGGCAAAAATGCGATGTTGCTGACATAATATAGTTGTATCGTTGGTTGGTTCCAGCTGGTTCCGCTTCAAGTAGGAAATGTGCTGAGAAATGCCATGACATTACTAGTATATGTTGACATCAGACAGATTTTTCCTCATACAGGTTATTTTGTTTTTCCCCTGTGATTCAATTAGACTCCATTCTACTTAGTGGCGCTCTCATGGCGCTCTCTCTGCGAAATTGGCCAGAGCGAGGAGAGAGTGCCGAACTCTATGAAAAACGTGATCAAGTGGAATCTGTACGGCGACCTCTCTGCGCTCTCTGAGCGACCAAAGACCCAAATGACCCAAACGTTTTGGGGCGATGAACGAATTCATAGCTCACTCAACGAGTTACCGAAATAGAGAACGAATTTTTTTTATGCTTCCCCTCTTTCAAAGTCACTCTGGTACATCCTGCATCATATATTTAGATTATGAAATCAAGGGTGTAAGGCCCCCATTTTACTAGGACGCTCTCACTGCGCTCTCTTTGTACGCTCTCTATGATGCCCTCTCTCTGCGACCTGAAATTGGTCGGAGCGCTGAGGGAGCACAGTGCCGAGGTCACCATATTTTGTTTCAAAATTAATGTTGGGGCCGTTGCGCGCTCTCATGGCGCTCTCATGGCACTCTCATGGCTAATCGTTACATTGTCGCCCTCGGCTCTCTCACGGCGATGGTATGACGAGGTTCCATACCATCGCCGAGGTGACGGCGCTCATGGCGCTCTCATCGCGCTCCCAGAGCGCCGTGAGAGCGCCGTCTAAGTGGAATGGGGGTATTAGATGCAATGCATAATTGCCATACATGCAAACTTATAGTTTATCGGGCTAGACGAGCTTGTCATTTATTATTGTCTTTGCACGTAGTACTAGTAACCCGAAAACGTTGAATTTAACTAGGCCGAGGTTCAATCTAACAATTTTCCCTTCTACACTTCCCCCAGCCTGGCTCTGAAAACGTTGATCGCCCCGAATGGCGCAGTGGATCTAACTACGCAGATCGGAGTCCAGGGGGTCTTTAAGCTGATACGGGAAAGGTGAGGCGAAATGTTTATTTGATAAATACTGGTATTTATGTACTAATTGTACCGCTAAACTTACTTCCATTGTTTATGAAATTTTAATTACAAGTTTGTTTTTTTTTATTATTGAAACAGGTTAAAGACTTGGCGTCTCGATAGAGAGGGCAATCTGCCGGAAGACCTGAAATCCCGTGGCGTAAGTACTATAATCTTTATACATATAAGGATTGCTCAGCATGATATATTACTTATCGTTGTTACATTCCTTTTGTGTTGGACTTATTTCTGTTACGTTCGTTTGTGTTGGACAAGTTTTAGTTACAATAGATTTTGATATCACCATGGAAGGTGTTTCATCTTGACAAGTTGCAGGTAAGGTTTCCTGCAGGGAGTTGATCCTCCCCGCCAAGTTAGACTATTTTTGTCGTTAGGCCATGTTGATTTGATTATATGGATGACATCCTCCGGGAGTCCTAAAACTGATGCGCGCGTGCGAATAAAAAAAAAGTTTTGCAAAAAAAAAGTTCTTTTCATTATGAAATCTACGTGGTCATGAGGGTTGAGCAAATGGCACAGAATATGGTTTGGCGAATAATCTAGTCTTCAAGTTCATTTCTTTACAATTTCGCCTTTTTTCGTTTGATTTTGGCATTCTACGACATTGGAATAGTTTTTATTAATTTTTTTGTAACTTATGGTATATTTTTGCTCATTTTGCAACTGCTTTGTACGATTTACAGTATGGTTAAAAACTTTTTTTTTTGGAAACGGCCGAAAATTCATGCGCGCGCGGATGTCATCCATATAATCAAATCAACATGGCCTTATATGTGTTTAAAAAGTAATTTTATAGGGAAATGCATTTAAACAAATTTGTTTGATGGTATATCAGGGCATCCTGGCATGATGAAACGTTATTGCAAGTTTCCACCCGAAGGCTAAATAGTTACCAATAATGGTTGGCAATTGTAATGTGGGACAAGGGTCTACGCTAATTCTAATGGTAATGTTAAGTTATGGGGTTTGTTCTTTTTTTTTGCAAGGACATTTTCTGTAATGCGAAGGTTCTGTGGTGTTAGGAGGGGTGCAGCTTTCTTTCGCCGGTAATTAACGTGGAGACTTTAATCAATTAGAACGTGCGTTCGTGGATTTTTTTTTAACGGTATCGCTCAATGTAAGGCCAATTATATTTGGCCACTTCTAGGCATAGAGCTAGAGGTACTTAAGGGAGTATATTGTAGTTATGTCAGGAGATGGCGGTGGACCTTTGTTTTGAAGCTTTGTGGATTGTAATCGGACGGGAAGCGGCTGTTTGGAAGAGAGTTCCATAATTTTGCAGTCCGGGGAAAGAAGCTGTTGTTGTAAAATGACTTGGGGACAGGTATATATATGTTAACGGTGTATTGATGAGCGCTGGAAGATAACCTAGTGGCACGCTGAAAGGTTCTGAGCGGCGGAACAAGAAGTGCAAGTTCTCCTGAACATCGACCGTGAAAATATCTGTAAAAGAGGGATTATTGAATTAGAACGTGCGTTCGTGGATTATTTCATGCATTTGCACCAATCTTGTTTATTCTAGGTTGACAACGCAGACGATCTGCCCAAGTACTACTATCGCGACGATGCCATTCCCATCTATGACGTTATCAAGAACCATGTCACCAAAGTTGTGGCATACTTCTATACTCCTGATGGTAAGTGGTTATAATAGCGATGACTCAAACGCATTTAAAAGCAACGTTAAGATTGATAGAAATGTACTTCAATCTTTAACAATTCTGTACGCAACATTGTAATATCTCTACCACGGCGGTCTGTCACTACGGTATTCTTTCCCATTGCTAGGCGCGTTCTAAAAGGTATCGGGTTACAAGACGCTATTTTGGCCGATTTTGGACTACCAGTAAAACACTTGAAAATAAACAAAAATTATTTAATGGTAAATTTCGTCAAATTAAAATGAAATTATTGCCTTAACATCCTTTTAATATTAGCTGTTTATGTTAAATCATTGATTTTTCAAAATTTCGCTCCGAAAGACGATTTTTTTCGGGTTTCCAACCACAAGTCATGTCATGTTTTTAGGCAAAAATCGTTTTAACCTGGCTACGTATATTACCCCAGATTCACGATTTTTATATTTTTCGACGACTAAGAATAAGATAAAAAAAAATCGTGTTTTAGGGATTTTTTAATTTCTGATTTTAAGTCTAGTTTTTGGTGACATATTGGTTAAAAAAATGCCTTTTTTTACATTTTTCGCACTAAATTGCCTATCATTAAAAATTGAGGCCATTTTTCAAAAATCCCTAAAACACGATTTTCGGGACAACCGTAACGGTCATTTTGAGCCGTGAATGGGGTATGTTTGACTCTCCATGCTTGCAGGTTTAAACGAGTTTTGCAGACATGTCAAGTCGACCAAAAGTCTGCATTGTGTTATTCATATTGGTGTAAAGAATCATTACAGTATTCAAGGTCGACCAAGGATACGACAGTAGCTTCCCTATATGTTACATACCCACCGAAAATTATAGCGGACATGTACTGTCCAGGAAACTGTTTGTATCTATAGCAAAGTGTTGTTTTTTATCTGTTGCAAGGCACTCAGACAGAAGGGCTTGTTTTGCCGCTTTATTGTAAATGACCGCAGGTGACCCCGAAATAGAACGCGGGTTCGATTCGAATTGCCGAGATCGAACACGATCGAACACAGTTCGGATTTTATGACATGTGGGAACTTTGCAGCCCAGATTTTACCACCGTGTACTGGCATGTAAAGTGCACAATAGGATAAGTGCCATGCATGATGCTAGCATTCTTAGCATTAGTCTACACACGATCGCAACAGGGTAGCCATCCCATCGTGGGCGTCCAAGGATCCCCCCGGTACTGAGAGCGTTCTCGGGCGCCCAGGTCAATTAGCGCACTCCTGGAAATTTTTGCGGGATTAGAACCATTTATTTCACTTAAATAGGAAAGGGCTGCCAAGAAAAATCATCTGTCAGAAAAACACACCTACGCTGGGATTGAGACTGAAATTGGAACTGAGGTCCTATGCCGGACCGGTTGGTTGGTCAACAAATTAACGACAAATTTTAACTGGAACCAGAAACAGTCATGCCTTCAAATATCAGAGAGTGTATTCTCAAGGATTGTTTAAAACTCGTATTTTCAAAGAACTATCATAGAGTGGTTCTCGCTGCCACCAAGAACAGTTGGGGCATTATCACTAGATAGCTGCAATGCCTGCAGTCAGATCGGTGTAATATATCCAGCTGCCGCCGTGCCGCGTGCCTGTGAAGCTAGTGTGTTTCGCAGACATCAGTTATACCGGCTATAAAGATACAGAAACCTGTATTGCATTATCATCATAGAAATAATTATTACTCATACAGTTGTATTACTTTCTACTTTCAATTACTTATAGGGGACGGCAAGTCCACCAAACTGGAGAATGATAATGAGATTCAGAGCTTTGCGAGAGCTCTCGTTGACAGCGGAATCCAGGTACTGCATTGAATGACCTTAGTTATTCGATACACGTGGTTGTGATTTATTACATTTTGATCTTACGATAATGCCCTGGTCGACTAACTAACGTCGTAAGAATAAAACTTAGCACACGAATTAGAGACTTGTGACAACTGATAATATCAAAATAGTTATATTTCTCTTTGTTGAATTGATAATGATGGACAGGTACTAAAGTGATATGTATCATACATACATACATATACGAGAGGCTTCAGCCTTCTACCCCACGATAACCGAAAGGGTATCATGCGAAGTGAATTATCATGAGCTACCGCCATATCTTACACACAGGGGGTTCCTGGGAACGGAACTTTGTCCAACGTGAATCAGCTGATCCAGATCCTGACCTCCATCATCTTCACCGCCAGTGTGCAGCACGCAGCCGTCAACTTCATGCAGTGGGACCAGTACGCCTTCGTACCCAACATGCCGCTCGTGCTGGAGGGAGAACCTCCGAGAACCAAGGTTTAGCAACTTTTGCCTTCGTCAGAAGGGTATAAAATCGGCTTGCTTTAGTTTGGGAGACTGTGGATGTAGCGGCATAACTCTTGAAGGCAAAGATCGATGTTCATGATTTTTTGCAGGCAGGTTACCGTTGGAGAGACCAAGGTCAAGTTAACAAAATGGGCTTCGTGGGGAGGGGCCTAGATCAATTTCGCATCCACATAGCCTAGCTTCCGGGGGGGGGGGCACTTCAGTGGACCTTTTGTGTTTGTCGTTTGTTAGCAGGATAACTCGGGTACTATACATGTAAATGGCTGTTCACGAAGAACATATGTTTAGACTTTTCAAAGTTTTACATCGTTACAAGACCCGAAATCCACTAATAAGTTGCAGGTTGATAATATATTAGAAGGCCACTTCTCCCAAAGTCAAGAACAATAGTGGGCCCAAACTCGTGTCACTTCTTTCCTAGCCCAAGAACTATCTAACATCCACAATTCGTGACCCTAGCATGTCCAGATCATGAGATATCAAAACCGGATGTTCCGCTGTAATACCAACGAAAGGCATCAGGGAGGACCAAAATCTAATCATTTCTAGGTCTCAAGGTCTCATCAATACCTACCCACCTACTATCTTTTAGCTAAGAAAGTCATGGGGATTTAAACCTTTTATTTGCTCTCCACATACCAAGTACATGTACAATTGTATTACACAATCCATAGCGTCTTATGTTTCTATCCATCCACAAGAAACGCAAACGGCGCCATAACACAACCATCTTAACCAAAAAAAACTGTAACTCTCGTCTTTTCAGGACCCTCTGACGGAACAGAACGTCCTAAACGCACTGCCTTGGAAGTTCCAAACCGTGAGTATCGGCCTGCTGGAAGGAGTCCTGAGCGAGCGCTCCACCCAGCCTCTTGGGAAGTTTGAGGTCGAGTACCTCTTAGGGCCAAAGGCTGAAAAAGTCTTTGATACGTAAGTGGAACTAGCTATTGTCCTTGGCAGAAAACTCATTTCAAGTAACCACTGCTATTTTGCCATATCCTGTTATTGAAATAAATTAGTTGAATTGCTGTGGCAATCACTGTAAAGTCTTAATGTGGTTTAGATAATATGTCTTTTTCTTACCTGAATAGAATCAACGATAAATTGGAAAAAATCGCAGATGATATCCAGCTCAAGAACTCTACTCAGCGTTCCCATCCGTATGACTACCTGAACCCTCGTGAGATTCCCAACTCCATCAGCATCTAACTGCTCAGTTCACATCAGCAGTTTTCTGCAAGATGCAAACACGTGGCATTCCTTTTCTGCAATTGGAAACTGAGAACGTTCATGTATACAGTACATTCTGCAGTTCTGTAATGCATAAGCTACGTAACAATGTTTTAAAAACTTAATATGCTCTTTGAAGGAGCTGTAGAGCTTAGTCAGGGTGAAAGTTTGTAACATCCACCTAACGTTTGGAATGTTTACAACAATACGTAATGTTGTAGTAAAATGCTTGCAGGTTAATTTGCGCTAACAATGATGTTTAGCAAGATACATCGGGTATGTAGATAGGAATTAACCCTACTCAGAGGGAGGAGGTAGCTTATAAGTCCCACGGCATCTTACATTTCTGAACGGCTTATTTTACCTGTTGCCGGGGCAACGGGGTTTCTAAAATTTCCTATCCAAGATGGTGGATCCCAGCCAATAAATATTGACGTCATTTGACTCGATTGACAAGAAAAATCTTATTTTAGTCCCCCATCCCAGGATGTCCAGTCTGAATAGGGTTGATACAATAGCAGAATGTGGCGTGCGTTTAAAGTGTATTGTTTCAGACCATATCTAAGGTAGATTTTGATGATTTTTTCACGACGATAATAGTTCCATTTTGTGTGTGTGGTGTTGAACTGTGCTCAATCCTTGAAGTAGCATAATCTTTGTAGAGAACAGTTGTAATGTAGAGAACATTTGCGTGATAATAAAAGGCAGGAATGATTTGATGGCTAGCCTGGATTGCAAATAGAAACATTTTGGCTTGGAATGCAAATAGCAACAGGCTACAAAGTAGCATAATCTTTGGTTAGTTTGGTTATACTGTTGAGAACAGTTAAATGACAATAACAATGCCCTTAAAGGGAAGGGATGATTTGATTGCTAGCCTAGAATGGAAATTAGAAATTGATGTTTAGCCTGGAATGCAAAGAGGAACAGTCTGCAAAGCAGCATAATCTTTAGTTATAATGTTGAGGACATTTACATAATGATATTTCCTTTTCAAGGGAAGAAATGATTTGGTTGCTAGCCTGGATTGCAAATAGAAACGTTTTTGGCTTTGAATGCAAATAGTAACAGGCTACAAAGTAGCATAATCTTTGGTTATACTGTCGAAAACAGTTGCGTAATGATATATCCTTTTAAAGGGCAGGAATAATTTGATTTGCTAGCCTATCATGCAAATTAGAAACGTGTGTTAGGCCTGGAATGCAAAAAGTAACAGCTTGCAAAGCAGCATAATCTTTGGTTATAATGTTTAGAACAATCAAATATTAATATCCCCCTGGGATGCAAATACAAACGTATGTTTAACGACAAAGATGAAATGTAGCTGATGAGTTAACTTTTTAGATATGCGAGGTGGTTGGTAGTAGACTGTTATGAATAAGATTAACGAAGATTAAAGACGAAATAAGATTATAAACGTATGTTACTCCTGTAGTTACTCCTGGATGTGGAAGTACATTGTTATTAGTCGCTTATTACTAGTGGGGAGTTGTGTATAGTGTAGGCTGACAGCACGTGGATTGTATAAGATCGACAGATAGAATGACAGGAGATCAAAAGGTCAGAGACAGGTATGCACTGGAGTGAACTGGAAGGTAACGAAAACCCCAATATATAACACTTCCGGGAAGTCTGGAATGTGGAATTTCCTGTAAGGACATGTTTTACAGGTGTACGCGTGATATGAAGAATGTGCACTACAATATCGACTCCTGTATGCTCTCTTTTTGGTGTGGAATAAATTTGGTATCTGGCATTGCGTTGTCTTTCGTGTTAGTTACTTCAGTTTTAGTTAAAACCATCCCTACACATTTCCCTGTATAAGGAAATTGTCCACCTCCGTTTCAATGATGTATTGTCACTATTGATATCTAACACTTGTTGACATGGTTTTTCTACTGTACCTACATTACTTTCGTTTCGTAGTCAGGGAGATTAAAAAATGCCTAAAGCCACATACATACAGAAATTTATCAAAATCTCAAACATATCTAGTTTAGTCACCTTGGTTTAATTACAAACTAAGTAGAAATATATTGACGATTCTTTCAAGACGTATTACAATATTAATACTTACAATGCTAAGAAGGAATATTATACTACTTATGCCTAAAGCTGTCTAAATGGAAATACGTTCATGGTGTAATGTGTAATTAAAAATTGTATTTCACATACAAATTCGTAAAAAAATCTATTGAATTCTACTTTAGCCATAGACTTTACGAGATAAAATATTGGGTAATCTTTCATCAAAATACAACAGTTCTCAGTTTGTTTCTTATTTGCTTATTGCTTATTTGAACATATAAAACAAGCTTTAGATAATACAATTTGTAGTAAATGATAAGATGAATGTGTCGGAAAAACTGAAGCCCTAACGGTCTTTATAAATGCGATGACTTTATTAATTATGGCCAATTACTGCTAATTTTAACACAGCATCATACATTGTAAAGAAGAAGTCATGCTTCAATAAACAAGACAAAATAGAGAAAACCGATAGACTGAACAACTAATGAAATAATACTATCAAATGGCAGATTCCATAAGCAGAAATCAAAACAATCACATTCCAAAAAACAGTTATCAAATATCAAATTATGATAAATACACCAAATGTTCTACAAACATTAAAAAAACTGCCATCAAACAATTCCATACACTTATGAAGTTTTAAGCAGCCGGTTGGTTGTCTTACTCCTACACCGCAAATTATTTCATATAATCTAATTATAGACCACTGAGATTTTTGGCTAAAATCAACCGTTATAAGACCGCTGTTTTTCAAACCATAGTCGCGCTACTGCACCCACATGAGCATCAAAAAGTTTCATTAGTTGTTGTTTTGCCTTTAGTCATAAATGATACACTTCTATCATTTCCCTCCAGTTAATAATTCTTTTATTTACTTAATAGTGCACCACTAAACAAGGCTCAACACACTTATTTTATTGTTGTTACTCTCTTTATGTAGTTGAAGAGATTCATCAGTCACGTATAGTACAAGTTCAGTAAGATAATTCTTTCAATCAGTGACTATTAAATCCTAAGGTACATACCTCCGAATTTTCGACGACTAGTCAGTTCGTCTTGGTCACGGAATGATCCTAGTCTCGCAAGATAACGCGAGACTAGGACGAGACTTGCGTGGATCTTCTGCCCCCCTCTGCCTCCTTGCGGAGTAGAGGTAGGTAGGGCTTAGGCAGCTCCCAGCCTTCGTTGCGGTTCAGCTTGGCTCCCACTAGTTGGATGTGTATGGCCTCCTTGATCTTCCGATGTGCGTTGCGGGCTTCCTGATCGATAATTTCGATCGTGTCTAGTATAGGTTGGGTGGTGACCCTATGTCCAGTCTGTAACTGGTGTTGACTAAGTGCAGATTTGTAGTCCTTACGGTCAATCGACTTCTGATGTTCGCCTGACCTTTCCCCCAGCGATCTCTCTGTTTCTCCCACATACGTCTCACCGCAGTGTTCGCAGACAAATTTGTATATGACACCACACTTTTCACACTATTCCAACTAGTGGGAGCCAAGCTGAACCGCAACGAAGGCTGGGAGCTGCCTAAGCCCTACCTACCTCTACTCCGCAAGGAGGCAGAGGGGGGCAGAAGATCCACGCAAGTCTCGTCCTAGTCTCGCGTTATCTTGCGAGACTAGGATCATTCCGTGACCAAGACGAACTGACTAGTCGTCGAAAATTCGGAGGTATGTACCTTAGGATTTAATAGTCACTGATTGAAAGAATTATCTTACTGAACATCTCTTTATGTAGTTTGTCATACATTGTACCATGTGCAATTGTCGTGCAATAAAGTTCTTCTTCTATACTGGAGAATGTTGTCATAGTCCGTTGTGACACCAAATTTCTGCCCCGCCACATCTCTGCTTGTCGGGAGTAGTGACCTGGAATTTGGAGCTAGGGCTGGGGTATAATTAGGGTTGGTATTAGAGTCAGAGTTAGGATTGGGGTCAGAGTTGGAGTCATTGTTCGAGCTAGAGTTAGGCTTTAGGTTAGGGTTAAGTTTAGCTCGGTGAACGTTAAACCCAGGTATACGTAGTAGGATACGCCAAAAACAGTTACTCAAGCAACCGAATGTGGTTTAGGGTTTGGTTTATAGTCTTCACGTCACGACCAACTCCTCCCACCTTTCTTTTGCCCCAGGTATATTAGAAACACCCATGTAGTAGTCTCCACCTGACTCCTTTGCAGGCTGAATAAATAGTAGAAATCGGCTAACGGGGGACAACATTGGCCAGAGGAGTTGGCCGGTCATAGAGAGTCAAGCTTGCCTGCACAGACAACCAATCAATCAATCAACTTTATTGCTCAACAACTGTAGCTGGTACAATGTATGGCAAAGAAACAACAATGGTACATACACAAACTAATACTAAAATATAATTCTAACAATCTAGTCCGTGATGATACTATAAGCTAAAGCTAATCTATTGTGTTTTCTTAGGAAGAGTATTATTACATTCTGTAATTCAGGAGATATATCAGCTATTTACAATAGCTTTTGTAGTGATTCAAATATGAATTTTCCACCGTACACTGATATCTGAGTAGGACATGAAAGGAGCATATTAAAGATATCTGATTTCGAGTGAGGTAGCGTAACATTAGTTTTGGAAGCTATGGATTGCATCAACTTTTGTCTGTTTTCTTCATATGTTGGACATGACATCATAAAGTGGAATTCGTCTTCAATACCCTCCTTGCATGTTGGGCACAACAGACAAGTGCAGGCAAGTGCAGTGCAGGCAAGCTGGACCCTCTATGACCGGCCAACTCCTCTGGCCAATGTTGTCCCCCGTTAGCCTATTTCTACTTTTTATTTAGCCTGCAAAGGAGTCAGGTGGAGACTACCCATGTAGTATCGGGGCCATTTATTTGGCAGGAGCAGGAATTTGGCTTCACACGTACCGGCTGATCTACTACTACATAATATTAGCCTCCACACATGTCTCCCTCTGAGGTTCGACAGTAAGACATCCGTTTGCTGGTTTTTCTTGGGGACTTTGAGCAGTACGATGCCCGTCTTTCTTGGACACGTCCCTGCATTGGTAGCTGATGTAGGCAGGGTGACCAAACGTCACAATGGAAAGCACCAGGACAGAGATGTACACCTACGAGAATAAAACAACATGTTCAAACAGCGTATTGCCATGAAAGTTCATCTGTGTTGGTAGTTGACATTATGCTTTACACTGCTAAAACTATGCTTTACACTGCTAACACTAAAATCTACTGTACTTCAGGTAACGTCGTCTTAAGAATTGGATACATATTTAAAGTTGAACTTTTGATCCAACACAGATATAACTAAATTAGCCTAAAACAGATCATGAACCCGCATGGGAGTGGGGCATACTTGGTCACGTTTGGCACCGCATTCTCCCCCAGTACCAACTAGTACTAGTGCCAATAAGTAGCCCCAGGTACTATAATCATTAGACAGGTAGCAAACGTACTACCGAAACTTTCCACTTGCTGGGTACAAAAGACAACCCCGACATCCATTATTAGAACATAGTTAACACATAACTGACAACCGCAAGCATCAGTACATCTCTGTCACTCTAGATTCAGGACATAGGCCACACCGACTTAATTTTATGGATGACATCCGCGCGCGCATTGATTTTCACCTGTTCTCTTCGAGGCTCTGGCCTGGCCCGAGAATACGGGGCCGGGCACCCAGGCTACCGACGGTCCACGACTCAAGAACTCAGTACATACGTACAGTGCACGTGCCGATTCATAAATCCAGAAAAAGCCAGCATATGCTGGCTTGTCGTATACGCCGCTAAGTACTGCCGCAAATTTACCAGCTTTGTATTCCTGTGGTTTAGTAGCATCAAGGACAGTCTATAGAAGCTCCTTGGTAGCATTTTATTTTTTGGTCAGAATTTTTTTATTCGCCCGCGCGCACTTATTTGGGGGTAATCCATAAAATGAAGATGGTGTGGCCTTATGTACTTACATAAAACGGGCTGCCAGCAGTCTTGATCCAGCCGATGAGTGGATACTGCAGCAGGCCGACCAGCCCGGCTACCAGGTACGACAGGCCGATCAACCGGCCAAGGTGCTCCGCGGGAAACCTGGCGACAGTGTCAATCCAGTTATATATAATTATAACGTTCTCAACGGGAACTATATGGCTGTAGGTGTGGACTGTGGCGATATAGATATTGGCCAAGCCCCTGCCACACATTCACGAATTTGGCCTCCCGAACACTGACCGACACACCTCCCCCCCCCCCCAACCATGGTAAGGAGTAGGTCGGAGCAAAGTTGGCTAGTGTGGCTGGTGCTCGGACAGGTCGGCTACTGTTCGGTTACGACAGCCAAACTTTCAAGATGTTTAAAACATTCAGCATCCGACTGTACATCACACATGGCCTAAATCTGGCCAGAACTCAGCCGATCTTGGTCGGCTGGTGATCGGGGGCAATGTCGAGGAAAGGTCCTGAAAGCGTCACAGGAACTTTATTTTGAGGAATGAATCCATTCTACTTTATATCAATCCACTTATAGTTAGGATGAATTTTATTTTGAGGATTGCGGTTAATATTTAACTGAGTGATATATTCAGGGCTCGAAATTAACGGTGGTCCAATGGCCAGTGACAACTAAAATGACCCTTTGGGACATTTTGGGGACAATAGAAAAATAATTAGCATCATAATGTCAGCCCTTCTTTTGTTTATCAGGCACACGTCTCGGCTTTTGGATCCGGAAAAGTCCCCCCTAATTTCCTGTCTACACTGCCATTATAGTGCAATTATAAAGTTGAATTCAAGTTGAATTCATACAATACTTCCCAAAAAACAGGTTGAGACAGTTCATCATCACTTCGAGACAATTAACATTTACCTTTGGGACAGTGCTGGGACAATGGAAGAACTAGTTAATTTCGAGGCCTGGATATTGCTTAAAGACCAAATGACACAAAAAAAGTTCGTAAAATACATACAAATATCGGAAGTGTACATACAATATAGTCACTTGAAGTTTGTTCCAATCATGATGACTGAGAAATTGAGCTTGTACGGCCTTCTAAAAGTGGATTTTTGGATACTCTAGCAAGCGCTCCCAATTGCCCACTTCGGGTATCTCTATTTGCATGTCTGTGTTTATTTTTGCCTTTCTGTGCTTTTTCCTGAGCTGACATCACTGGATGATGTCAGCTCAGGAAAAAATACAGACATGCAAAAATGAAATGTAGAGATGCAAATCGCCTGCCAGTACTGGCTTGTGCTTTTAAACTTTTCCAAAGCAGGGCATTATAATTTCGAATGTAACAGGAGAACCGTGCATATTTATTTCCAATGTGTCTGATAGCCAGGTAATACTAGTTATGTCAAGTACAATCAGCTAAGGTCATAGTTTGGTGTCATGAGCACTTAAAGTGTAAAGGAAAGAATGGATTTCATACTCACGAATTGGCAATAAACGCAGTGTTCCCTCCGTAAATAAAAGCTCTGCTGACCACGTGCAGAACGAACGTGATGATCATGTCCGGAGCTGACGTCATGAGCAGGCCTGTGCTGGACACCACAGACGGCGTGTCCCACACGGACAACGTGGCGAAGACGAACACCAGCGAGCTGGTCAGACTGGTGATGATGAACACGGGGACGGCCGCACGCCGCCGGGAGGTCACGGTAGCAGCTGGGAGGACAGGGCAAAGGTCACTATTTCGCGCCTGACCAGAAGGCCCAGACTGAGACCCCCCTTTGTGAGTGCAGCCAAACCAACTGAATTAGCCTTTTTCTTGGTATGTGTGGATGAATTCTGGCATTTTCCAGCTCGAAAGGTATTTCTTTTTCTATTTTGTTGAAAAACTGGCTCATAGAATGTTTTGGCTGCCTGGTAGAGCTCTAAAAGAAATGCCATTGTTTTGTTTTTTGGTGGTGTACAGGGGGTCAGAGGTCATGATCTCAGTGTTTCCATAGACTACCCTATCAATATGAGTTTGCAATAATTGAACACTCAAGTAGGTGATTTTTGACAGCTCAGTTCTTATATGTTTAACATATATTCCAATGGGGGCTGGAAATAGACTGTCCTGTCCCCGACACCACCAAATCATGGGATGGTTACAGACTCTGTGTATATGACACATATGTAAGCACTGCACGAAATCTCACCTTTAAGCACAATTTAAACATTGCGTAAAGATACACGCAAATGAATGAACGGAACATTTCCATTAGCTTTGACGCGCAAAAAATTGATTTTGTAAAGTGATAAGGCTTTACCTAGTGGCCTACCAAGTAAAACAGTATTACGTAACGTCTGTAAGAATAGTTGCTACAAGGTATATAGTCTAGTTATCAGTGCTCAGTATTCATTCATTATGTCTATTGGTAGTGTTGCTCTTTTTCTGGATGAACCTGTAATTGTAGCTCTGTGACTGCTTGTACTGTCTCAATCTTCATACACTGTTGCAAACAATGGTTAATACCACAACAAAACCTGAGCGTGTAGCTATATACATTAAATACGACCACAATCCTGGGAAATTCAAAGAATTTAACCGTTATAAACCAAATTGTATTCAAGAGATATTACCACGTGTATGTCCTTTCAGTCCCAAATCGTAGACGAAACCACAGAGTGGAGACACCAGCACATTCGACACCTGGAAGAACCCAAACACGTACGTCCAGAAGCTCACTGGAATGAAAAAAAATTGTCATGATTATTATTATTATGGGTTCACCACACCACGAAGTGGTGGTGAACCCATATTGCTTTTTCTGATGTTTCTTCTCCTTCTTCTTCTTCTCCTGCCACTTCTTTAAATTGATTCAACTCCTTCATTTTTGGGCGAAATTACCTGTAATTTCGTATAGAGGTAGAGTGGGTAAATACCCTTAGGCGTTTTTTAAATTTTTTTGATACAAGCTTTTACAATCGTTTTATTTGCTTTTTAGTGGTCCCCATAGGAAAGTACTGTGGGGGCGTACGCGCGTGACGTAATAAGAAAGGAATTCGGGGGAAGGCCCAAATATGGGCATACAAGCAGGTGTGGTCATGTTTGCAGATGTGGCTGTTGATTGGCTGTTGGCTAATTAATTTATTTACTACCATTTTCACGTACAACAGGGGGATTACCAGCGCGGCTGGTCAACGCGGTCTCGGCCGTGGGCCATCGGCTGGTCCACGCGGTCTCGGCCGTGGGCCATTACTATTTGATACTCTGATATTGGATACCGATTCGTGTGATTCCTATAAACATTTCACCTAACTACGAACTAGTTGGAAGAATTATAGCTGCATGGATGCCTGTATAAGATTTTAACAAACACTGAAAATCTGACGCAAAAACTGGCAGATATTTTGCTCTTCTCTGTTGGAACAACGCAAGCGGGAGGTCAATGACCTGCGCCCCGCGAGTACTGTAAACAACGGTACGTAATGTGTATCGTCGGCGCACGCGCGCGCGCCACGGTATCAACAATTTTCCACAAGTACAGGCGTCCATTTGTTGTTGCTGAGAACATCGCAAGACGGCTTCCTGGCAAATTTTCCTAAAGCGAGCGTTGAGGGCTTGCATGCCCGACAGTTTTCAAAGATTGGACAGGGAGCCGGCGGCTTCTGCTAGCCGGATTGATAGTTACGTTACATCAAGGTACCGGTGGTTCAAAAGCGAACCTGATAAAGAAGGAAATCTCCTAGAAAGTCCCTTACTAGTACTTGAAGCGATCGTTACCGCCATGTTGTTCACTTTATATGACATACAATGCAGAGAGTAATGGAAACGCGTCCAGATAGCTCGGTTGGTAACGCGCAGGGCTGCAAGTCCAGACATTGCGAGTTCGAACCCCGGTACACTGGATATTTTTAATTACCCTTTTTACAATTTTTAACAATTTCAACATTTTTAACAATTTCAACAATTTTAATCATTTTACATTTTAACAATTTCAACACTTAATTTTAACATTTTCGTTTTAATATCCATCGCTTTGCTTTTAACATTCCAAAACTGATTGTTCTTACTCAAGAATTTCAATAACTTCGAATGTTAGTCTTTTGTATTTTTTCTAACAATTACAAACCAAAATACACTTTTGATGTTGTCACAAAAGTAACATCTGTGCGCGCATCGGTTTTCGTTCATTTAAAAACTACAAGTACAAAACATCTGGAAACTAAGCAAACATACTCAGTAAATTGATTGCTGTAATTCCCGATTTTTTTTTCACTGTACCGCAACGCAAGCGGGGGGTCAATGTTCACGGTTTTCACTGTCACCTCTGTATTGTGAACTTATCATTACAGTTAGGAAATAATTCCTGGACTTTCTTTTTCCTGCAACTGTCACCACCATGAATATATAGTTCCGTGAACATGTCCATTTTTCTCAGACCGTGAAAATTTTGCTTCCGTTAGTAGTAGTTACAATCTCGTCAAAAGTGTAAAGTAAAGCTGTCGAGATTTAAAGTGCGTGTCGTTGTATCTTTGTAAAAAAAAGGGAGATAATTGCCAAGTGCCAGTTTTGTAAATACCTGTCGAGATTCAAACAGCTTGTCCTTGTATAATTGCAGTATGATTTATTTAAAATCTCTCATTTTTGTTTGGGGAAGGGTATGGAGTGAAATTCCTACATTTGCTCCGAAGCAAATGTTGGCCTTTCTAGTTTAAATGGATTCAGCTTCTTCATTTTAGGGCCTAAGGTCCTGAAATTTGGTATGGAGGTACAGTGGGCAAATACCCCTAGGCGTTTTTTAAATTTTTGTGATACAGGCTTTTAGAATGGTTTTATTTGAGTTTTTTGGCTGTGTTATAGCAAATGTATTACTGTGTTAGTGTGCCGTGTTTACCACGTCTGGGCATGAGTCATCACAATGGAATGCAGGGCATCAAC